CTTACTTCATTATTGCTGGATTTTTTGAGTGCCATTTCCATTCTTCCGCCCACTCCCTCTTTTAAACTGTCACAATGGACAGCAGTGCTTGTCCATTCTGGCATGCAGTAATCAAATTCCATTGAAACTGAACTGGTTTTATTGCTCATATATAGGTTTTTATACATAAATAAACTAGTGATTTAATTCTATCAAAGTTCATAGTTCATAAATTCATACTGTATAATCATAGAATCATAGAATGCTCCTGGTTGAAAAAGACCTTGAAGATCATCAAGTCCAACCATAACCTAAATCCACCAACCATAAATAACCTAATCTACCCGTTCAGTACTTAAATCATGTCCCTAATTGGGGACATAAAATCCCAAAGATTATAGTTTTATCCTGCCTCTGTAGCAGCTGTCGTTGAAGTTATGTAGCTTCTGAACAACTTAACTCCAGCCTAAGTAAAGTTTCTCCCTAGCCTAGGTATCTGAAATGACTTCTAGGTAAACCATTAGATGTTTAGCATGAATTGTGATTGTCACACTTCAAACAGTGGATCTTTCATGGGTGGATCCTGTTCCACTACTTCCTAAGCTCTCTAATTGTCTCACCCATCCACTTTTAACTGACAGATACAAAATTAGTTTGTCTGTCTTAAAATACACACAGGCATATGCATAGCTGTAAATAACAGAACAGGGTGATTTAATGGAATTCTAGATGAGATGTAAAAGAATGTGCAGATATACAAAGTAGCAGTTAACTGTCAAAACTATAGTTAAAATAAGCATATGCTTAATGTGGTCTTTGAAGTATTTTGATGTGTGTGCTAAGGTGTGCTAAGGATTGTGCTGCTTTTTTTGAGTTGTAGTGAATTCTGGAATATCTGTTCTCTCTTTGACTATTTAAAGTACAAAACTACTAACTCTGAAAAGCAAAGTAAGTACTTTGATCTCCTGTGACCTTGTGGTTGAACTATTCTGAAGCTGGTAGAGTGCAAGGCCCAGATGAAGCCTTCCCATTGGGTAGTAATTCCACAACATCTCTCCATTCCTGATACAGATGCCCTCCAGTTTTTATTCAAGGTTGTACCCTGGTTCTCTACTCTACCTACTTGCCTATTTTCACAATTCTAAAGGAGCAGAATTATTATGTATGAGACCTCTACAACTTTGCCAGTGTAACTGGCCAACAACTTCATGAGCTACTAGGGGAAGAAGGACACCAGAAAAGGTAATTACATAAGATCTGTTTTACTAGAAAAGCAAATTAAAAATTCCTACTTTTTATTACCTCTCTGCCACAATGAATCAGGCACTTTCCTCTTTAAATCAGTAAGGCAGATAAAATATCAAAAGATAGGTAAGACTAATATTATGTGAAAAACTGCAACTGTATATTAATTTTGCAGCAGACCTAAACGTGGTGATATTAAGCAGCTTGTGTATAGCTGTTGAGTAAGTCAGTCTTATTTTGGCATATGCACCTGAATTAAGGTCACCTGATCTAAGGATCAGAAATATAACTGTATCCCCTGTAGCCCAACATGCAATTTTAACAGAAATAGACTATACTTACATAGACTATACTCAGCCCACCTACTTTAACTTAGCTATACAGCATGCAAAAACATCTTACAATGATACAAATAAACACCTTAGAACTAATACCTAAGCTACAGTAAATTTACATGGTTATATTTTGCCAAGATTCACAAATTAGAGACCAAACAGGGAGCCATAACCTCTCTAGGAGTTTTAATGCTCATGTAAGTAGCTGCGTAACACATATACAGAGATACATGTACAGGTATCTCCCAAATGTCTTGGGAGTCTGGGGAAGTCCCTGCTGACTAGAAGCTAGCCAGTGTTGCTCCAGTTTACAAGAAGAGGGTGAAGTAAGACCCAGGACTGTTAGTCTAACCTCAGTTTCTGGAAACATGATGGAGATCACACTGGGTGTGATACAGAAAAATGCAATCATCAGGCACAGCCAACATGGGTTTATAAAGGGAAAATGCTCTTTAATTAACCAGATAACCTTAATTTATAAGGTTACATACCTAGTATATGAGGTGAAGGCAGTGGATCTAGTTTTTTTCTGGATTTTAGTGGGGCTTCTGATACTGTTCCCCACAGCATCCTGGACAACTTGTCCATCCATGGGATGAGTGGGTACATGGTGCACTGGAACAACTGACTGGATGGCAGGGATCAAAGGGCTGCAGTGAAGGGGGCTACATCTGGCTGGTGACTTGTTGTCAGCAGTGCTCCTCAGGGTTCAGTTCTGGAGCCAGTCCTGTTGAATAATCTATCAGTGATCTGGATGAAGGAGCTGAATGCACCATTACCAAGTCTGCTGATGATACCAAACTGGGAGGTGCTGTTGAGTCTTTTTAGGTCTTGTACAGGGATTTAGATAGACTGCAGCATCAGTCAATGATGAATGGGATGAAACTTAATAACTTGCATACTGCACCCAGGACAGAGTATAAACTGGAAGAGCAGTGGCTGGAGAGCAGCCCTGCAGAAAGGGATGTGGGGTGCTGGTTGGCAGCAGCTCAGTCTGAGCCAGCCGTGCACCCTGGCAGCCAGGAGGGCAAACTACATCCTGGGGAGCATCAGAAGCAATGTGACCAGCTAGTCAAAAGAGGTGGTGATCCTGCTGTATTTAGGGTTGGTGTGACCTCACCTCGAGCACTGTGTGCAGCTCTGGGCCCCACCATTTAAGAACAATGTGAAGGTCCTTGCATCCTTCCAGAGGAGGGCAACAAAGCCAGTGAAAGGGCTGGAAGGCATGTTCTGTGAGGAGCTGCTGGGGACTTTGGGATTTTCTAGTCTGGAGAGGAGGCTCAGGTGTGATCTCACTGCTCTCCACAGCTTTCTGAGGAGGGTAAGTGGAGAGGGAGGTGCTAAGTTTTTTTCCCAGGTGCCCAGTAACAGGATGCATGAGAATGGTTCAGCGCTGCACTGGACATTAGGAAGCATTTATTTATAAGATGTTGGTGAAGGTGTTGGAACAGGCTTCTTATAGAGAAGATGGCTGATGCCCCAAAACCTTCCAGTGTTTGCCCTTAACAATGTGCTTAACCTGTGGACAGTCAGGCAGCTGGACTAGGTGATCATTGTAGGTCCCTTCCAACTGAAATTTCTTTTCTTCCTTTCCTTTCCCTTCCCTTCCCTTCCTCCTTTCCTTTCCTTTCCCTTCCCTTCCCTCTTCCCTTCCCTTCCTCCTTTCCTTTCCTTTCCCTTCCCTTCCCTCTTCCCTTCCCTTCCTCCTTTCCTTTCCTTTCCCTTCCCTTCCCTCTTCCCTTCCCTTCCTCCTTTCCTTTCCTTTCCCTTCCCTTCCCTCTTCCCTTCCCTTCCTCCTTTCCTTTCCTTTCCCTTCCCTTCCCTCTTCCCTTCCCTTCCTCCTTTCCTTTCCTTTCCCTTCCCTTCCCTCTCCCCTTCCCTTCCCTTCCCTTCCCTTCCTCCTTTCCTTTCCTTTCCTTCCCTTTTTCAACATATGTCACAACATACTGAACATTACAGAAAGGTTTTGAATAAGAATGCATATATAATGAGTATTTGCACATAGCATGACATTGCATTCAACATACTCAATCTAAAGCATTGCTGTTACATCACAGAGAAAGGAACTCCTGAACTGCTCAACATAATTCAAGTGATTGCAAGATATTCTCATGCCCTAAGCTACTGCCCTCATCCAAACTTTGCTTTGGAAACATAACAAAGCTTTTATTCAGGCCAGTGCATGCATGCACAGGTGTGTACAGTGGGAGAAGAGAAGGCTTGGTGCTGCACAGAGAGAATTCTCAAACCCTGGATTTTCCATATGAGAGTATTAAAGGCTGTGAGAGCCACTCACATTATACTGAGACCAGCTGTGCCTTTCTGTCGAGGCCAATCCAGCAGGGAGCAGAGCAACCCCCCCGGCTCCGAGGGCAGGAGGGAGCAGCCGCAGGGCACTGCCCACCCCGGGAACTGCGGGCAGCTCTGCAGCTCCTCCCGGGAAACCAGGAGGGAGGATCAGGATTTCTGACAAGGTGCAGGGATACCTGTTGCGTCTTGCCGAGCTCCTGCCAAAGTTCCCTGTGCTCCTGCCTCTGGTTCGGAACACGCACGGGAGGCCCAAGGGAGACAGGAGGGACCAGGACAGCGGGGTCCGGCACCGGCACCCAC